AATAACTTTTACTAGATAATGATGAGAGTAAATATTACATGATTTTGTAGCATTTAAATTTACTTACCAAATGTTAGGGCAAATCGTTTACAGGATTCTCTCAAGTAAATCTTACAAGTTATTTTTTACAGTGTAGGACTACTTAAAAGTTCATCCATCCATCCATGTTTTGCTTTTTATCCATAATTGGGTCAAGGAGGCAACATGTACAGAAGGAAAACTCAGACATCCCATTTCCCAGTGAGACATTCCAGTTTCCTCTGGGAAAGTCCATGGCATTCCAGACCAGAAAGGRTACATTATTCCTCCAGTGAGTTCTGAGTCTGCACCAAGGTCTCCTTACGATGGGACGTGTCTGAAAAAACTCTCAAAGGGATGCACTTAGAAAGCATCCTAATCAGAAGACCAAACCACCTCTGCTGACTCCTGACAAGGAGGAGCAGCTGCTTTATTCTGAGCTCCTCAGTCTTTCTCCAAGGCTGAGCCCARACACCTTGTAAARAAAGCTTATTTTAGCTGCCTCTTGYTTCTTTTAGTTGTGATCCACATCACACGACCATAGGCGAGGGCTGAAACATATGAACTAGGAAATAAAGAGCTTTGCTTTTCCACTAAGCTCCTTCTTCACAATACCAGACAGGAGCAACATCCTCATTAATGTGGATGAGGCCCCAATCTGTTCCTTAACCGTCCCGTGCATCCTGCCATCGTACGCTTGAATGTCTTAGCTGAAGGAAGCATTTCACTTTAGTCCAGTTAAAAATCAATTTCAAATAAAAATGTATAACACAACAGATTAAGAAAACTAATTCTTTTAAATTTAAAAGACTAATAGGATCAAAATTTTCAAAAAGTTTATTGTGCATTTGTCGTAGTGTTTAACTCATGTTCAACGGGCAGGTGTGTTTGTTTTATATAATCAGTTTCAACTTTTATTTGACTTTTTTTTTCCCCTTGCAGTACACCTCAGCGCTGACCTACGATGCTGTGCARGTGATGACCGAAGCCTTTCGATACCTGCACAAACAGCGCATCGACTTCACCAGAAGAGCTAACACTGGTGACTGCCTGGCYAATCCTGCTGTCCCGTGGGCTCAAGGGGTGGAGATTGAGCGAGCACTGAAACAGGTAACAGCCTTTTCCTTCTGCATTTTCTGAAAAAGGAAACGCCTGCAACCAAAGAGAGACTGATTCATTCAAGATGAAAAACAAATRATGTCTAATTCCAAATTTCATTTTTGTTGGAAGTAAAGTAACTAAGCAGCTGTTGCTTTTAGATAAGTTAGAGAATGTAAAAGCCCAAACCTCTACTGCTGCAGTTCACAAGTATGATGCAATCAAACAAAGTCYGGTCTTTTAATATGTTTATTAAGCATTTTTTTAGATCTGATTGGTTAAAATTTGTTCATGACAAAAAGTGGCCCACAGTCCACAGCAACATAACCAGCACTGGCTGCCCGTTTCCAAACGATAGAAAAAAACAATATTACTTCTCACACTTTCTGATTCAAAAATGCATTCAAGCATCATAAATGTTCTTAGTGAAGACTTGTTGCCATAGTAACAGCAGATCTCTTTTAGAAAACGCACAAACACCCACAAAAGCTCAAATTACTTTGAAAGAGTCTGACGTTTCAGCTTGCATTTGGACACAAATATAGTGCATTAAAAAGGTATTCACTACTTTGAGTGATTTATGCGTTTATCGTTGTCATAAATTAGTCTTAAACCATGATCAATGTCAAGTTTCTAAAGAGTCTTTCCAATGGGGACCTTCACTCCTGACATCACACAKATTATTAATGTTTCCAACGCGCTCGCAAACGATCGGACAATCAAAGTGGATTCTCCGGTGGTTCAGTGTTAATACCGTAACGGAAAAAGATATTTCTAGAGCAAATTTCTACATCCGACTTCAGGAATCACAGCAAAGTTCATTAAGGTCGTATTCAGACCTGATAATTTGCTCCGCTTTAAACGAACCAGAGTTTGTTTCCAGCGTTGGTCCGGACTTTTTGTGCAGGTGTGAATACACTCATGCGAACTCTGGTGCGGATCAAACAACCGGACCGAGACCTGCTTTTTGAGGTGGTCTCGGTTCGTTTCCAAACGCACTCTGGTGTGGTTCACTTTAGTTCTCTTCTGTGAATACAGACCGGACTCTAACCGAACCAAATGCATTAAACATTCACCTTTTTGGACTTCACAGGCCACCGTTGCTGAGCTAAACAAACTGAAAACATACCTGTTTCATCGTCTCCTGTTAGCAGCTCTGCTGGCAGCATGTTGTGGGTCAGAACATGCAGAGCACCTCGTCTCCTTTGGGTCGCGGGACACATTTACTGATGTCGATCCAAAATTAGAAAATCATCACAGAACCACCGTTAAATTAGCTGCTTCTGACATTTTAAATGCTATTGCAGTTGTACTATCAGCAAAAATGTGCACATCAGAACCGCAGCATGCAGGACTTCCTTGTTTTCTTCTGGGTCTGTGGCTCAGTCCCGCCCCCGTCCTTTTTTTGTCCAATGGGAGCAATGATCGTCAGCCTCATGGCTTTGTTTACAAGTTATAGTTCGTTTGCAAAAAAGCACAATGTGAATACAAACCGCACCAAACGAAAAAAAAAAGTCMATTTTTGGTCCGGACCAAACAATTGGACCAAAGGACTTTCCTGGTCTGAATACACCCTAAAAATGTCCGGGTTCAAGGGTCCTGGTCTTCTCCAGACTTTGAAAGCAAATGGAGTTGTTAAAAAGGTTGGTGTTTTTACCGTGTCGACTTATAACTTATCCGTGTGTGTCTGTGTGTTTTTTTTTTATCACTGGAGCCACATCGTTTAAAGAAACTTAATGGTGATGTTTAGATTTTGTGTAAGTAAAATATGATCACTATATGCTGGACTGACTGCAGTAGAGCCTGGGAGTAGTGCACTATATGAGCGAGGCTAGCATAGATGCTAGGAGTAAAGCTAGCAGTAGGCTACAGTAAAAACAACAAGTTTTACTGTAGCTGTTTATCAACAGAAAGTGCAGGGAAAGGATTCAGSTGGTCCGGTGTTAAATCTGTAATTTTTTTCAAATTCAGCTTGTCCCATCGCTCGAATCCAGCTGTTAGCCTAGCATTTTAGCTTGGGAATAGAGACAAAAAATACTTGTTTCATGTGGGGATGATGGCTGGATCCTGAGGCTCTATTACGAGTAATTTAGCACACTTTTTTGTGGTGGAGTTTGATGCTGTTTTCCCAAATTTATTTAAGTTTAAACACAGCGAAACCAGCGTAGCTCCATTTAAATYARTGGAGCGGCTACAAGAGTTTGTATGTGCATTAGTTTCGAGCGGACATAGTCACATGACTCGTTTTCTTAAAATAGCCTCAGTGAAGGTCCCTATTGAATAAAAAAAGTGTAAAGTAAAATACCCCTTTAAAATGACTGCCTTTATTCAACTCAGAGGGAAAAAGAATTTAAAAAATACCCACAAGTGTGGGGATAGATATAGATTTCAAGGTGGTAAACATCCCCAGCATTTCTACTAGATCCATCATCAAAAAAATGGATCAGATATGAGACGTTTAAATCTACTGTTACAGCTAGCAGGCTGTCCTGTGCAAAAAGGAGAATAGTGAAAGAGGCCACCAAGACACCTGAAGGCATCAAAAAGAAAAAAACAAACTACAGTAGGATTCTTAGCCTTCCTTAGCTACCCAATAAAAACAGTAGAAACAAAAACACTGTTTGAATCAACTACTTGTGACTCAAACATTTTAATGATAGCAGTCCTAACTAGTGCAAAAAACAAACAAGAAAAATATTGTTTTATGATGTCTTTATTAAAAAAAACTCTTGTGTTTGTCAGGTGCGTGTGGAAGGCCTAACAGGAAATATTCAATTTGATCARCATGGGAAGAGAGTAAATTACTCCGTGAATATAATGGAATTAAACAGCAATGGTCCAGTAAAGGTAAGAGTTTGATTTACCATCTTGACAAAAAAAAATACTATTTTGATTTTACATGTTGTTGAGCTTTTAAACATATYTTGTGTGACCTTTTTAAGTACAAATAATGTAGAGCAATGGTGCCAAAAATCCTGCAGGCCTTAGATATTTTTTTGCTCTGACACACCCGTTTTTGATAAATGAATGATTAGCAGGCAGATATGCTGAAGAGCAGGGACATAACGAAAACATGCAGGATAGTGGCCGACGAAAACTAGGACTGAGCACCACTGCTGTAGATCATTCAAGCTCCATCATATTCTGTTTTTAATGAACATCACATTTTTCCTCTTCAGATTGGATACTGGAACGAAGCCGACAAACTGGTTCTCACCAATAATGGCGACTCAAAYGGCTCATCGTCATCAATGGAAAACAGAACATATATTGTGACCACCATCTTGGTAATGAAAAACTGGATGAACTGTTTTATTTGTTGTTCTTCTCACCACCTCTGCCCTTACATAAGAAAAGGACAAACACTAAGATCCAAACTAATTTTCTAAAATTGAAAACAAGCACAAACCAAGGTCACAACAGCTGGATTTTGTAACATTTATCTTTAAATACCAACTTTGTCACTAAAAGAGGTTTTAGTTTTCACTAAAATTATCCAACAAGAATGGCTTATTTATTAGTTAATGCTTCAAGAAGTTCATGGACAGTTTATAAATATATATATATTGCTTGGTGCTAAACCACTTTTTATTAACATAGTTGGAACTGTTTTTAAGCAGCGAGCTTTGTTTTTGTTTCCCCTTTCAGGAAGCTCCATATGTGATGCTTAAAAAGAATTACGATCAGTTTACGGACAATGAACGCTATGAGGGTTACTGTGTGGATCTGGCAGCAGAGATAGCGAAGCACTGTCACAACTTCAACTACCAGCTGAAAATAGTGGGGGATGGGAAGTATGGAGCCAGAGACGCAGAGACCAAAATCTGGAACGGAATGGTGGGAGAGCTGGTTTATTCGGTGAGTTATCATTTTTAATTGAAGGTGTTATTATAGTCGCATTAGTCATTTATTTATAAGAGCAGAACATAAAGTATATGGAAATAGAGTAGTTCCTGGAAAAAAWTATGAGAAGGCTTGCCAGCTGTGCAAGTCCTGTATGTTTTTGCTGCTTAAAATAGGTTCTGGCGACCGTAGTAAAGATGTACTGTCATTTTGAGATCACTGTTTGTACTATCAGCCCAAATTTGAGGCAAATATGTAAAAAAATGGCTGAGCTATGGTTAATTTAGCATATTAGCTGCAGTGGCCATCTTTGATTTTTATTTTGGCTTTATACCAATTTTAGCTCAATACCGTATGTGAAACACTGGCTGATTTAAAGCCCTTTGAAAATATCTATGGCAGCCATCTTGGATTTTTTTCCAGCTTCTATTTTTAACAGAGCTCACTCTCAGCTACTAGTGTATTAATCTTTAGCTCATTAAGTTGAAAATCGACTGAATTTAAGTCATTTGATATTAGCTACGGCAGCCATGTTAATTGTTTTATTTGGGCTACTATTTGTGATAGAGCTAGTGTATCAATTTTAGCTCACTATAATGAAAATTGACTGAAATTAGCTATGGCGGCCATCTTGGATTTTTTTCCCGGCTACTATTTGAAATATCGCAAGCTTCATTGCGGGATTTTTTTTATTAGTTTCAGCATCTTCATAAGGCAAATTTTAAAGTGTTGCTTTGGTTTCTAACTCTTGATTCTTTCACCCTTTTGCTTGACAGAAAGCAGATATCGCAGTGGCCCCTTTGACCATCACATTGGTACGAGAGGAGGTGATCGACTTCTCTAAACCCTTCATGTCACTGGGAATCTCCATCATGATCAAGAAGCCACAGAAATCCAAACCTGGAGTGTTTTCTTTCCTGGACCCGCTGGCCTATGAGATCTGGATGTGCATTGTTTTCGCCTACATCGGCGTCAGCGTGGTGCTGTTCCTCGTCAGCCGCTTCAGCCCCTATGAGTGGCACACCGAGGAGTACGAAGACGGGCAGATCCAGACCAATGAATCGACTAACGAGTTTGGCATATTCAACAGCCTGTGGTTCTCCCTTGGAGCCTTCATGAGGCAAGGATGTGACATCTCGCCTAGGTAGGTGGGGAAAAACAAAACAAAACTAAATCTCAGCATTGCCACATGACTTGAGACGTAATTAAACAAGCATAACTGGAGACTCAAAAATGTATACATTTTTCATATTTGTTAACTTGTTAGATTATGTCTCAGAATGCTTTTTTTCTGTTTTTATCCCTTACACTCACCGGCCACTTTATTAGGTACACCTGTCCAACTGCTCGTTAACACTTAATTTCTAATCAGCCAATCAC